ATGGAAGGAGCATATCCCGAGACAAATCCAATGAAGGTTGCCACAAACATGCGGCAGCAGGTAGGAGATCTAGCTGGCCCTCCAGTTTGGCCTGCAGTTAACTGACCTTGGAGTTGATGGCGATCGTGGGCGCCCACTTCGAGCTGCCCGCAGAGGAGAGAAGATGGGAGTCTGCAGGGCCGTTTTCGTAGCCGAGATTCGGATGTAAAAAAGCACAGCTCGGCTCTTGGGGCGTTTCGCCAAAAAGCTCCACGTCACCGACCCGCTTCCTGGGGTGATCTATCGGTCCGAGTCCAGAGGTTTCAGCGACCATGAGCGGGCCGCGGTCCGCCGAGCTTTCGTTGCCATGCGTCTGCCGCGCGCAGGTGAACTATCACTCACGTCTCTCTTCTTGCAGGAAAGGGGCCCGCGTGTCGCGCAGGTGTCAGCCCTGGTATTAGATATTCTAAAGAGGCTGAGACGTGCCAAACTCACGCCACTGCGTCGCATTCTTCTCCCCGATCCTAGGCGCGGGTGGGAGGTGGCGCTCGGGGGCGGGAAGGAACTGACGAGTTGGAGAAGTGTTGCTGGGCCCCTCTCCGCGACGAGGCTGTCTCTTCGCCGCGTAGGATGGGTAAGCCTTCTCTCGTCGGGCTCGCTGACGACTTCGGCGAATCCAGCCCTGCGACAGTTTGTTCGCCTGCCTTTGTGAAGAAGCCCCCCCCTCCGCTGTGCCGCGACAGCTGAAGAGGACGAGCGTGGCCTCGTTGGTCCCAGATGCCAAGCGCCTGTGCTGCGATCAGACTCGAGCCCAACTAGCTTCTCGGAGATTCACTCGCTTGCACAAAGCGGTGATTCGGATTTCGGGTTGCGGCGGCGTGCGGTCGAAAGAGTACACCGCCAACAGAACGTACAAGATCATTGTTTGCAGTTTATGTGAATCATGCAAGGATTGATCGGCGCAGAGGTTGCAGTTTTGCCGCGATTGCATGATGCCCGAGACTGCACAAGCCAGCGAGCGGCCTGAGCTCCTGATCTCGAGGAGGTTGAACTCGAGGAGCCCGAGACACTCCTACTGCTTATCAGAAGCCCGCTCCGAGACCCTTGCGACTTGTGCCTTGTGCCCGAGGCCGCCTTCAGAATCCCGAGAGCCCTTCGAGTTTGTCTGGCTCAGTGGCGCGGGGGCGACGGACCGCGCGTTCAAAGGAGATGTCTTCATAGGCGGGTCTCGCGTCAGGGGTGCGGTTCCAGAACTGTCCAGAGAGGGGAGGATGCGCTGCTTACGGCGAGGACAAAGATATACTTCGCCTTGGTAACGCCTCCTTCTGGGCGCCTCTCCCTAGGGCGCCTCAGGCTGCCGATGGGCTCTCGGTTGTGGGCCAGCTGGCCTCTCTTGGAATTCGTGTTTGGCTGCTTCAACGTGGCCCGTCAGTTTGATCTATCCAAAGGCGAGAGCGCTCCCATGCCCAGAAACGACGAGACTCATGCGATAGCGAAGCTTAGAGCCCGACGCCGCCCCAAGCCCACTCAACAGCAATAGGACTGGCCCTCATCCCGGCCTCGGATGTCCAAACTCGGTCGTTTATTCGCCGCGAGGTTGCTCCCGCCCCGGCCTAAGCTTGATTTGCCTAAGGTCGAGCTCGCGAAACAATTCGCTCTGCCCCAGCTGCGTCATGCGAGTGGAGTTGGGTTGGCAACGCTGGCAATGCGAGCGTTGCTTCAGAGGTTCCAGAGCGGCGTTTCGCGCCGAGCCAGGAGTGTGCATGGTGGTCCAGGCATGGGCCGCAGAGGCGCGGGCGCGCCCGGGTTGCAAGGGAAGAGCCACAGTTTGTATGCTTAGATGCCAGCGACGGCAGTTTCGTTTGTGCATTGGTACGCGTTGTAAATGTAATGCGGCGGGACGCCAGGGAAGAGGTCTTCGGTCGGCTTGCCAAACGCTGTCCTTTACTAGAGGCCCTGACCAGAAAGTCGTCGGTCAGGGTGCGCCAGCTCCGTTGGACACGCGGCCGAGGGAGGTGATTGTGATTGATCAATTATTCGGGTCTTTCTCTTGTTCCTTCTCCCTGCCTGGTTTGGAACCCCGGGGAGGATACTACTCTGCTTTGCGGTCCTGAGGGTCGCCCCTCTGGCCGACAGCAGGCGATCTAGAGTTGCCAATGTGCAGCATGGCGTTCCATCATCGAGTTTCCCCCAGAGTGCCATCGCCCAGCAACCAGGATGTACGTTGGGACTGCCTTGTCACGGTGGACGTCAAAACATCGAAGCCTCCATTCCACCCCTGCCGCCACTGACTGCCTTCTCGCACGCTCTGCTCCCGTCAGTACCGTAGCTGATGGGGTTCGTCGCGTGCGTGCTGCCACTTTCTGTCCCGCTGCCACTGTCTGCCTGCTCGCCCTGTTCGCCTTTCGCGCATCCCCTAGCGGTGTAGCAGATGGCGTCGGGCCCCAGTTTCGTTTCCCAAAGCTCGCATTTCTCGCGCGCCCTGGCTCTTGCAGTGTAGTTGATGACGTTTGCTATCTGGCTCCAGCTCCGCCTAGAGCTTTGCGCAAGATGTCGCTGCTTGCCTAACTCGCACGCCGTGGAGCCAGCGCTGTAGGTGACGCCCTGCCGCCAGCGTTGTAGCTGATGGCGTCGGGCTCGTCCGTTGCCGTCCCCTCGATCTCGCTCTCGATGACTGCACCTGCTCGCCGCCTCCGCACTGTAGTTGATGACGTTTGGCTCGTCCTTCGCCGTCCTTCTGCCTACGATGGCAGTGGGTGTGGTGACCTCGGGCTCTATCCTCGCCTACTTCCTTCCGTTGAATTGCGTCAGAGCCTGCTGCCCGTCACTGCAGCCACCGCGTGTTGTCTCCCATGCAGCACGATAGCCTTCTGCCACGGCCTGCATTCTCTCACGATCTGGCCCTTGCATTGTAGCTGAGATGTGTCTCGCGCGATCCTTTGCAGCAACAGCGCCTGCTGCCACTGTCTGCCTTCCCGCCTCACCCGATACCCCGCATTGTAGTTGAGAACTGGTCCCACGAACACCTTCTTGTACGAGCTGGTCCCTGCACTGTAGCTGAGATGTGTCTCGCACGAACCCCCGTTTGCAGCAGTCAGATCCGCTGCCATTGCCTGCCTTTTCGCAAGTTGTCGTGGCGGATCACGTGTGGCTCGTTCTTCGCCGCTTGCGTTGCTTGGTCGCCGCTGTGGCAGCTGCTGACGTTGGGCTCCGCTTCGTCCTTCACTTCTGTTGGGTCGCCCGCGAAGTAGGTGTACGCGAGCGGGACGCCGTCCCCAGTGGCAGGCCGGAGTTCGCCGTGGAGGTGCAAGGTACGGAGCTCACCCAATGGCGGGGCGAGAGGAGGAAAGCGGGGGGAGACGGGGAGGGGAAGGGGAGGAGAGACAAGGGCCTAGTCCCAGTGTTGCAGCTGGGGACGTTGGGCAACACCATTCTTGATGGCTCGCGTCTGCACTGCCACTCCCAAGTTGGCCGACGCACTTCGGGGCCCCCTCCTGAGAGGAGCGGCTTCGTTGGGGATGGGGGGAGAGGGGTTCCACAGAGGAGGGGGGGGGGTTCGAGGGTCGGTGGGACGGGGGCCAGTTCCAGGGAGGAGGATGTTGGCGCGTGCACTACACAGAAGACGCTCTTCGGGCGTGAAGCATGCACTACACAGAAGACGCTGTCTCGTATCTTGGGGGCCGCCCATCGCAGGCCATCGGCGCACCAGAAAGCTGTGGTCTCGTCCGCTCCGCTCCCTGCTCGCCTGATTCGGCCCGCTCCAAACACAAGACGGCACGGCTATTTTCGGGCTGCGTGTGTCAACGCGCCGATTTAGAAATTCTATCATATCGTTTCCCACGATTTGTTGACGCGTTCGTGTTCCAGCGCCCTCGGAGTAAACACTTGTGCGCTTGTGTCGTGTGGTGTTGCTTGCATGTGTGCGTGTGTGCGAATACTCGGTGGCTCCCCTACTTTGATTTTGAGAACTCGGTCGTTTCGACTGTCTACGGGGGACACTTGGGATTCTCCTCTGGGGGCCATTTTGGAGAGGCTGTGTTACCTTCCTGGGGATCTTTTCGGGCCTCGGGGCTATGTTGAATGACGGCGAGCAGAAATTGTCTGGGGCCATGCTGGAGCCATCTAGGGTCAGCTTGAGCGCTCAGACACCTGGCCCCCCCCCGTCCACGACCCCAAGGAAGGGGTCTGTCGGTGTCGCCATTTCCAGCCCCCGAGTATCCTCTTGTCCTCATTTTCTGTAGATGTGTTTCACCTGTCGCTTGCGCTCGAGAATAAGTGAGTCTGTGACGCGGGCTGACGCCAGTCTTTGGGTGGAAACCGTCACACGGTTTTATCGTTGTCCATTGCCGTTCTCTTGGCTCAGCAACCCACCAGTTGGGCGCAGAACCGAGCATGTTTGATATCAGGCCCAGCGACTGGGCTGCACGGAAGAGGAACGGAGGGGCTGTGTTGTCTTGGAAAAGCTGGAGGGGCTGGGCTGTCTTGGAAGAGCCATCGCCCTCAGCCGAATACGGCCGGAGCGGCCCCTGCACTTCCTGAATTCTGGAAGATGGGTCGGCTCGGCTGGCCCTTGCGCTCACGGCAGGTCGGCGCCGTGCTGACGCGGTTGAGACCCCAGCGCGGGAGTTCAAGACTGGTCGTTGCCAGCGACGCAGAATCGGCCGACATTGAACGGTCGGAGCTATCGGAAGGCCAAGACCGTTCAAGGTTGAAGGATTCGCGCGGTGCCAGAAAACAACACTTGTCGTCATGACACGAGCTTACCGTATACATGTTTCTGGAATATCGGCCAGTCCGACGTAGGCTATCAACGTCGGCACGCGGGTGCGCACCTCCTCGAGCATGGTGGTTTGCACCGTGGCATTTGCTGGTTTGGTCCGGGTCTTTCTTACGTGCCATTATTACTCGTGTCTCACTCGCCAGGACATGTTCCTATCTCTGCGGCTGGCTTTCATGACATGTTTTGAGCAAGCGGCTACGTGTGTGCGCGTCCTTTTGCGTATGTGTCTGCCCTTGCAGAGGCGCAGTTCAGCGCGCTCTCCGCCACTCCAGAGGGCCAGAGCGGCGATATGGCCGAGGCGGCGTGCGTCAATTGGGCATGATTCTGGACCATCCCCAATATGGCTTGGGTTGACACGTGGGGGTGACGATGCCTGGTCGTTTTGAGGGTGTCGCTGGCTGAGGGCGGGGGTTGCAGGGACCCCCGACGGCAGCAGAAGGCATGTCCGTGTTTTGCCGACAGCGCCCAGGTGGCGACGATATCGCTTCGATCGATTCCTTGTGTCCCTGCATCCTGACCGCTACTCTTTCTGCCTTTCCACTCGTCGTTGTGGCAGCCGCCGCACCACTGCAAGAGTGCCAGATAAGGAGTAGGACACATGAGACAGGAAGAGGGGAGTAACTAGGCTTGGGAGGGGGTGCCCGAGTTTTCCTCGGCACTGTTTTACCGCGCTGTTTCCCCTGCCTCTCATCCACCTCGGCGCGATACAGGGGCTCCAGCCAGGGCCCGTGAATCGGACTCACCAACGGAGTGGTCATCCATCCATCCATGTTGTCGTGCCCATCACAAGAGAAAGTGGAGAGTGCGGGAGGTGAGCAGGAAGATGAATCTGATGATGACGATGCTGATGTTGATGGTGATGCTGCTAATGATGATGATGCTGCTGATGCAGATGCTAATGGTGAGGATGATATTGATGCTGATGATGATGATGGCGACGATGTTGTCAATGGTGATGATGCTGGTAATGACGAGGACGATGACGACGATGATGGCTATGACGATGACGACGATGATGACGATGCTGATGATGACGACGACGATGCTGATGATGTTGCTGATGACCATGACTATGATGATGACGATGCTGATGACTATGATGATGAGGGTTGTTTTGCTGATGCTGATACTGCTGATGATGATGCTACTGACGACAACGATTATGATGGTGTTGATGATGATGCTTGTGATGGTGAGTATGGTGATGATGACGATGACGATGGCGACGATGATGGTGATGATGATGTTGCTGATGATGATGCTGATGCTGCTGCTGATGATGATGACGAGGAGGAGGGAGGAGGAGAAGCCGGGGGAGGGGATGTGGGCACTGAAGGCCCTGCTCTATGTGTGGGGAACGCCATTGCCTCAAAGCACCCCAGGCAAATGCGAGGACCGCGTGGAAATGGCTGCAGCCGCAACATCGTCACGCATTCTCTTATCCAGTGCGTCTCCCTCCCAACTCCGCTCAGTCGACCCCCCTCGTCGCCCCCCTCCCAGGGCGCGGAAGCATACAGTCGGAGCGAGGCGTAAGAACATGTTCGGTTAGGGGAGGGCACATGAGGTTACATAATGTTCTTCATTGTTTCGCATGTTCTTCGGCATCATAGGAAAGGGTACCCTCGAACGTTCTTTAGTTTCGTTTGTTCCGGTGAGGCTGGGGCTCCAGGCCCTGCTTTTCCGTGTTTACCATGGCTTCCTCAGCAGGCCAAGGAGTCAAGGTCGGGCGACTCCTCGGAAGGGACCCTCGGCGACCTCCTGGTTTGGAGCCTTCATGCGGGCGGAGGGGCTCATGTTGTCGTATGTTCTTTTGTCCTTATTCCGATAGGGGAAAGGTAAGACTCGAGTTCGCCTGAATTCGTGTTTGCTGACGCTTTTTGGCGAGCCCGTCCTGGATTTTGGCAGTCCTGGTCTTCATGGGGTGTCTGCGGCGGGAGCTCGCGTCACATGATGTCAGACCGTCTCGTCATTTTCCTGACGGCCCCGTCGGGCCAACCCGAGTACCCCAAACCCGAGTCTTACTTCTCCCCGCGCGGCGCGGAGGCGCGACGCGAGGTGAGGCCCCAGGCGCTGGGCGCGCGGAGGGCGAGCGGTCGAGGCGCCGCCGCGCCGCGCCGCCCGCCCGAGCGGCCGCCCCGCGGGCAGAGGTGGCGAGAGCGCAGCGGGAGTCCGAGGCCAAGATGCAGGAGGTGGTGAGGAGGGCGAAGGAGCACGTGATGCAGGCGGCAGGGGAGAGGCGGGGATGGAGGATCTTCGGCGCGGGCACGGTGATGCACCTGCACTCCCCTCTCCTCCTCGCACTCACAGTTCGAAACTCAATATTCGAGTTGCTGTCTGTCGGAGTTCTGCTCGACTCGACCCGTTTCCGCTTCGCCGCCGCCTCCTCCTCCGCCGGCGGAGCGCAGCCTTTGCGCATTTTTGCTGTGCTCTGGCGAAGGAGCTGGTGGTGATCAGGAGGTGCTCAGGAACCGAAGGAGAAACAACGCGATAGACATCAGTTCTCGGAGCTCCGCAAGTTATTATTTTGCGGTTTTCCTCTGAGGAGGGCGAAGGAGCACATGGTGCAGGCGGCACCTGGGCACCGGGGCTGGGGGCTATGGTTCCGAGGGGATCCTCTGTTCCGTTCCTTATGCAAGATTTCCCCCTGTCGCACCCCGAGGCCGGTCGAAAGGGCGGGCCGTGTATTTCGCTTGGGATTTCCTCACCTTTTATGACCCTGAGGCTTAAACACATTGGGTAACAATTTCACAGAAGACGGGCGGGCCGTTTTCGAAGTGTGGCTCTCGCCCTAGCGCCGAGCACATTCGTGTTGAACATTGGCATGAGCTTCGAGGATTGAGGGCTGGTGGTTTTCGAAATGTGGCTCTCGCCGTAGCGCCACGTACCTTGTTCTAGAAAACATGCAGGGGCTCCACGGATTGAGGACTGCTCGTTTGCAAAATCTGGCCCTCGCCTGAGCGCCGCGCGCAAATATTGTTCCACGTTGCACGAGATTCACGGATTCCCGTGGTAAAGGTTCAAGGTTATGAGGGTGCAACATTTACATCGATTCGTGGTATTGAAGTCCCAACAATGGCTGTCTGGCAGGATTCAGGATTGTCAAGACGCAACAGTCAGGTTGATCCGTGGCGTTGGAGCCGAGAGAATCATGTTTTGGCATGATTCAGGGTCTTCACACGGTTGTCTACCAACGAGGCAGTTCCCTCAGTGGACATGAATTTTGCAGGGACCTGTGAACAGGGAGTTTGTAGGGAGGGTATATTCCAACATCGTTGATGACCCTTGGGTTTACACTGGTCCTCCTCCTTCTCTTCCTCCTCCTCCTCCGCTCCTGTCGGCCGTCAATGCTGCCCGAACCTGAGGGGTCAGGTTCAGGCAATACGCCCAGGACGCGATCCGCGCGAGGCTCCGTGTTGTCGCTCCTCCCCCATGTACTGATTTTGACGATTCATCGTTTTCCCTTTACTCTGGGGCTGCTGAGGTTGCCATCCCTCATGCGTCACGCGTTGTACGCATGATGCCGGGATTTTGACACCTCATGCGTTCAATTTTCATCTGGTGATTTCGACACATCATGCGTTGCGCCCCCCTGCCTAGGATTTGGCCCTTATCGCGATGCACTCTCTTGATGGGGCTTGGGGCCATCAGGCGTTGACCTCTTATGCTGGGGCTTTGGCACCTCATGCGTCGACTCCCCGTGCTGGGGCTTGTGGCCACCCAAGGCGTTGACTCCTCACGCTGGGCCTTTGGCCTCTTATGCGTTGACCCCTCATGCTGGGGCTGCGACCCCTTCTGCTGGGGTGCCAGTCCGTCATTCATCGAACCTCGTGCTGGGGCTGCAGCCCCCCCGGCGATGACTACTCATCCTGACTCACACTTGGGCCTGGGCCCCTCACGCATGATGCTGGGACTGCGATGATCAGCAGCAGGTTAGGCCAGCATCGGCCCCTCGGTAGTCCAACCCCTGGGGGCGGGAGGTGCGGCCGCCGTTCCCAGTTTTTGCCAAGGCTCGCCTCTGCGTTCAGATGCCATTATGCGATCGTGTCTCCCCCTCGTCGTCGCGAATGGGTCCGGACGGAATTGATCTGACTTGGTCCTGTCGCTGGCGCTCACCCCGCCAGAGCTGTCGCGTAATCGATTTCGGAAGACCGCCGCCCATCGCGCAGGGCCTGTGGTGCCATGGCTGTCCTTGGTCTGAGGAGACTCAGAGGGAGGAGGGGCAGATTAACCAACGAGGATGATGATCGGTCTGCAGTCGGGCCGTCTTGCTTATCATGCTATTGTGGTCGATGCTCTCCTCGATGCGGACTTCCGCAGTGCATCTTTGCACTGCCTTGCCAGATCTCTGTGAGCACACCCGTTACTCACAACGTCGAGAGGCCTCCTAGCTCCTCCGTCCCCCCTTACTTCTCCCCTCATCGCTCCTCCCTTTCCGTCTTTCCTCCTGACTCGTCCATCACAGCTCCTTTCCGCCTCCCTCCTCCGTCCTCCTGCCTGGCTCTTCTCCCGTCCTTCCTTCACTTGTCTCTCGCTTGTCCCTCCTCCCTCTCTCCCACTCGTTGCGCCCAGCTCATGCTCTTTGCCCAGCTCATGATCTCCGAGCTCCCAGAGTTACTTTGATAGTGTTTTGCCATATATTCGCTTTGTGCTACCATCCTTACACTTCATTGCGCTATCGTGGTCTCCACGTTGCGTGGCAATGCTTTGCATTGCAGTGCCATCGCAATGCACAGTATTCCTTCCGCTGCTTAGCGTTGATTCCTCTCGCTTCGCGGGGGTGCACGTCCGGACCACGTACAGTCCAGTTGTTGCGGGGCCTTTTGGGAGCTTCTTTGTGGCCTCTTGGAGGTGTCTTGGGTGGGGGCTTCCTGGGGCCTCTTTGGGGCGTCTTGGGTCGTCTTGGGGCGCTCTTGTGGCGTGTGGCCCATTCGGAGGCCGTCCTGGGGGTCCCTCGCGGCCGTTTTGGGGCTTTGTTGGGGTCCAGTTGAGTTGGGCCGTCTGAGGGCCCGCTTGGGCCGTCGTGGAGGCCTTTTGAGGGCTTCTTAGGCCGTCTTGGGGCCATTTTGGAGGCTGCTTGGGTCGTCATGGGTTTCTGAGAGGCGAAAAAAGGCGAGAATGCTAAATTCCTTCAAAACCCAATGGAATATCGATGGTTTTGGCCTCCGGGGGCGCTCTTGGGGGTCCCCTTGAAGCCGTCTTGGGCCGTCTTGAGCGCTTCTTGGGTCCTCTTGGGGCCATCTTGAGCCGTCTTTGGGCCGTCTTGGCTTGTATTGAGGCCATCTTGAGCCGTCGTCACGGCCTCTGAGACAGAGGCCCAAGAGGCCCAACTCATTGATTTTCAAGGTTTTTTAAGTGGATGTGTCCAGCAGAGGTCCGCCACCCCTGGGTCGGTGGATGTGGGGTGGCTTCGGGGGGGGTGAAGGGGGGAGACATAACAATGTAACATAATACGATATGTAGCAATTATGCAATCAGTGGATGCATTGGATACGTTGCGTTAGGGTTTCCGCTCCGCTGCCCGACCTGCCTCCGGGCAGGTTGGGGTTATCGAGGGCGATGAGGGAAGCGGCGGCCCCATCTTCCCTCCCAGCGCCGGCTCTACTCATGGGCGCCGCCGTGACCAATTTCCACGTGACAGGGGCTGCGCCCAGGAGAAAACAGCAATACAATCCAGACGTTGTGCGGCCTTTTGGGCGCCTCTGTGAGGCCTTTGTGAGGCTTCTTGGGGATTTCCTGGTGGCCTCTTGGGGACTTCTTGGGGCCCCTTGGAGGCCTCTTTAGGGGGAAAAACCAATACACTCCAGTCGTCGTGCGGCCTTTTGGACGCTTCTTTGAGGCCTTTGGGAGGCTTCTTGGGGATTTCTTGGAGGCCTCTTGGGGACTTTTTGGGGCCCCTTGGGGGCATCTTTGGGGCCTCTTGGGGCCTCTTGGGGGCGGCTTGGGCCGTCTTGGGGCGCTCTTGCGCCGTGTCGCCCCTTCGGAGATCGTCTTGGGGGCCTCCCGCGGCCGCATTGAGCCGTCTTAGAGGCCTCTTGGACCGTCTTGGGGGCCTTTTTGGCTTGTCTTGCGGCCCTCACGGGCCGTCTTGGCGCCTCTTGGGGCGTCTTGGGAGTTTTTTGGGCGCTCTTGGAGCCATCTTTGGTCGTCTTGGGGCCGTTTTGGGGTTCTCTTGGGCCGCCTTAAGCCATCTTGGGCCGTCTTGGCGCCCCTTGCGGGCTCCGAGAAGGGTCCAGAGGCCCAAATCAATGAGTTCCATTGGCTTTCGTAGGTTTTAGCACTAGTGCACGAAAGGGTCGGCGACTCGGCGGCGGCCCTGGGGGGGGATTCAGGGGGGATGCTTTAATACTAGTGCAATGTTTGGCAATTGCCCTTCCTTGACGCATCGTGGCTGGGCCCTTGCGTCGCACGCCCGTCCTGTCGGACTGCCAAGACGTTTCGCTGCAGTCCGGACGTGGATTCATTGGCTGACGCCGCACCGCCGGCCCCATGAGGCGGCATTAAGAGTGAAAAGCGGAGTTTGCGGAACGCTCGCGACTTATGGAGAATCTAGGAATGTAAGTTTCTTGGGAGTTCGTCGGTGGCGGTTGGCGGATTGCGGCTCTGCTCTTGGGCTTCTCTGGGCTCTCCTGGCAGCACTTCGGAGGCCTCCTGGGAGCCGTGTTGGGCCTCTCGGGGGCCTCGTGGGAGCCTCTTGGGGGCCTCGTGGCACCTCTTCAGGTTTTTTCGAGGCCGAGTGCTCGAAATGTCCCTTTCTGGGTCTCCTTTTGGGGCCGTCATGGGACCCTCCGGGGCCGTTTTGAAGGCTTCTGGGGCCGTCCTGGGGCCCTCTTTGGCTGTCTTGGAACCCGTTTGGGGGCCTCTTGGGCTATCTTGGGTCGATTTTGAAGGCCTCTTGGGCCGTTGTGGGCCTCGTGAAAACCCGAGACGCGAATGTGCTAAACATATACGATTTGTCCTAGGGACTGTGGCGATTTTTGCTTCTGGGGGGCTTCTTGGGCTGCTTCTTGGTGTTTTTTGAGTCGTCTTGGGGGGTTTCTGGGGCCGTCTGGAGGAAATCTTGGGCGTTTTGGAACGATCCGTCGTCGAGTCGTAGCCCTCCTGGATCGTCTGGGGGGCGTTTAGGGGCCCTCTTGGCGCAGTTTGTGGCCCCCTGAGGCTCCAAGGGTGCGGCCGGCACCCTTTCCCCCCCAGAAACCGGTCGGACACGGCTCCCGAGGGAGGGGTTTGGGGAAGGGGGAAGCACCTCACACGCCGTGACCCCAAGGGGTCGGCGGATTTGCAGTGTGTTGAATTGAGTTGCGTTGGCTCGTACTGAAGTTGAATGGGCATACCCTTGTCGTTGGTATGGCCCTGCTTGGTCGGCCTGTGCATTGTTTCCTTAACGTGTGTTGTGTTCAAGCCATTTGCGAGTACGTGCGTGAGTACATCAGTGAGGTTGTCCAGGGTTGCAAATTGTTAGATCCTAAGCGTGCGCGAAGCGCGTGTGGACTGTGTATATGTGTACATATGTGTGTATATATAACATATATGCAGCATGTGTAGATACTACATCATAAACATATATGGTATAGTCCATCTGCTTACACATACAATGGCCTTCGGCCCATCCCGCCACCGTACCTGCGTTGTGGGTCTGAGGCCTCTTGGATGTTCGTTGGGAGCTCGTCGAGGCCTCTCGGGAGCCTCTTGGAGGCAGTCTTGAGGCCCCTGGGGGGCTGCTTCGATGCCTCCTGTGACCTCTTTTGGGTGTCTTTGGGGTCTCTTGGGGCCTCTCGGGGTCTTCGAGGCCTCCTTGGTGTCCCTCTGGGGCCTCCTGGGCGCCTCTTGATGTTGTTTTCGCGTTCCCCCTCTTGGGCCCTTCTCGGGGCCGCCTTGGCGCAATTTTGTGCGGCCTTGGCCGCCTCTTGGCCGTCTTGGGGCCCTCGTGGGGGTCTCGTGGGCCGTCTCTGAGCGGTCTTGGGGGCCTCTTGTTACCTCTTCGAGCGTCGGAGGTTCGACAAGTGGAGAACAACAACCATTGAACAGCATACAACATTAGCCTGGCGAAGGACCCAACCAGATATGCAGCTGTGAGTACCGCAGTCGTGACTATCATGTTCGATGGGGCTCCCTATGGGGCCACGATCCTCGTGAGGGGTGCGCCGAACTGGCCCGAGGCCGCCATGCGAGCTTTCCCACTGGGGCCTTCGGTGGAGCTCCCTGTGGGGCCACGATCCTCTTGAGGGGTGCGCCGAACTGGCCCGAGGCCGCCATGCGAGCTTTCCCACTGGGGCCTTCGGTGGAGCACCCTGTGGGGCCACGATCCTCTTGAGGGGTGCGCCGAACTGGCCCGAGGCCGCCATGCCAACTTTCCCACTGGGGCCTTCGGTGGGGCTCCCTATGGGGCCACGATCCTCGTGAGGGGTACGCCGAACTGGCCCGAGGCCGCTATGCGAACTTTCCCACTGGGTCCTTCGGTGGAGCTCCCTATGGGGCCACGAAACGTGTGAGGGGTGCGCCGAACTGGCCCGAGGCCGCCATGCGAACTTTCCCACTGGGGCCTTCGGTGGAGCTCCTTGTGGTGCCACGAAACGTGTGAGGGGTCTGCCGAAATGGATGCGGTGCGGGGGAGGAGCGAGGAGAGGAATGAGGAGGGGAGACGCGGAGCACTGTCTCTTCAAAACGAGGACCCAACACCACAGGATGGTTGGGACAACAAAAACAATGATTTGGGCCCCTCGGGGCCATCTTGGGAATGCTCTTGGGGCTCTCTTGGAGCGTCTCGAAGGCCTCTTGGGCCGTCTTGGGACCCTCTTGGACGTCTTGGACCGATCGTGCGGCGCTTCGGGGCCCTCTTAGACGTCTCGGGGGCCTCTTAGGGCCCTCTTGGTTCCTCTTGGGACCTTCTTGGAGCCGAAGAGGTCACGCGAGACGATGCCCCAGGCCCCAGCTGACACGCAACGCGCCCCAGCCTGAAACAACCTATGCCCCTTAACCAGTCTTCAGGACTGAGGATTTGGGCTCCAGGGGATCCCACATGGTACCTGATGACACTCCAACTCGTGCCTCAGGGGCACGGTGGCGGATATATGCACACTAATGTCATGAGTTTGGATATTCACTCTTCTGGGGTTCGCCCCCTCGCAACTATCGGCCTTACGACACCCCCAATAATTGAGGATACGTTGGCCGCGGGGGATTCGAACGGCACCCAGAAAGTCCAAAAGAGGATTTCGAGTCGGTTGGAGGTGTTCCGAGACGGCCCAAGGATGTTCCCAACCGGTCCATGATCGTTTCAAGATGGCCCAACACGGCCCCGAGAAGCCACTCGACGATTCCAAACATGATTTCCAGGAAGCCGATATGGTCCTAAGAGCCGCAAGAGGGTTTCACCATGCGAACGAAATTGTTATGTCTGCTTCTGAAGGGCTTCAGCTTTCTCTACGTTTCCGCTGATGCTCTTGCTCCCATCCTCCATTTTACGTTAAGTAAGCCTTAGGTGAAAGCCTGTGGCGCTCTTGATGGTGAAAAGCACATATTGTAGACGACTCGGCTCACAATAGCGCCGCGGAACAAGCTTGAACAGAAGGTGAGGACGACACTAGTCGATGGAGCAGGCGCCCGCCAGGTACTAGAGGTCGACACTTCCCTTAGTCGGACGAGCCCATCCACCCCCACAACCTCGGTAGGTAAGATGCAATCATAAGTCTATACGTACAGTTCTGGGGCTGATACTTTTGATAGGCACAAGGCTGTCTGTTAGGATGGCTCTGTAGGCTGGCCTGAACCCAGCCTGTGTCGATACAGGCTCGCGGCAAAGGTGGCAACGCGTACGGGTGCACGCAAGTACATACAATGCAAGTATGGGGTTGCTACCCTGGTATGCAATGCAGTTCCCACCCTCCCCATGCATGAAGTTTAGCTAAACCACAGCATCCACCCAGCATGTTTCGAAACAGGCTTGCAGCAAGGGTGGCAATCTATACGAGTGCGCGCAAAGCATATAATCTGCAAGTGTGGGGCTGATAGCCTTGTATAGCCAGTAAGCTGCTCATGTTGACGCTGGCGCTGTCTAACATGGTTCAGTAGGCTGGCCATCCTACCTGCGTCGATACAGGCTTGCAACAACGGTGACAATGCTTCTGGGTGCACGCAGGGTTGCTACTCTTGTATGTTGTGCTGTTCCCACCCTCCCCATGCCGGTATCCCTTGCTTTAGCCCCCCCCCACCACCACCACCCTATCGAAGACGTGGCTGCCGTCTGCGTGGTACAGGCTCTGGAGATAGGAACAAGGGGTGAGAACAGAAAGAGTGTGACTGGCTTAAGAAGAGACTTGCAACATTAGGGTTGGTACTCTTGTGCTCCCATCCTTCTCCTGCTCCTCCCCCTCCTACTCCTTCTGGATCCCCTTCCCCTTTCCCCTTCGCCTCCTGCTTATCCACCTCCAACTTGCCCTCTGTACAACAGCTCTCCTTCCCGATTGTGCAGTAACTGCCTGGCCGAGTCCCATAATTGGCATGTGTATGTCCATGTCCTCCAGGACACCCCAAACGGCGGATACAACACATGCAACTCAATGGGAAGGATTGGGTGGGGCTCCGCTCTTTTCCAGCCGAGCGTACAGATGTGGAAGGAAGACGTGGGCGAAGCGTGAGCGAGCATGGGGCGAATGAGGGGGAGGGAGGGACAGAAGAGGGACGCGGGAGTGGCCAGTGCTGAAGAGGGAAAAGCCGGCACGGACAGCTGGAGGGGGAGAGTCGGAGGCATCTGGTGGAGTGGCGTACTTCGTCTCGCAGAGTGATGCAAGGGGGACAGGTGCAAGCGAAGCTTGCGACCAGCATGACGGAGAACAAGGAGTTGAGCGAGAGGCGCTTCGTTGCAACGAGTACGTAGGCGTCGCATGTTTGGTTTCTGGGGCCTGGTGATGTGTGTGTGTGTGTGTGTGTCTACGTGTGTGTGTGTGTCTGTGTGCCTAGTAGGTGCGATGCGATGCGGTGCGTTGGTGCGTCATTGCGTAGTATATAGAATGTCCAACAAGCATCGCAGCACGACTCGCAGCATCCTGATTACAGGTGTGTGTAGTTACATATCTCTTGTAGCCGCCTGTTCAGTTTGCCATTGCTTGGGTCGTGACTGTCTCTTGGAGATCCCCTGGGGGGCATTTTGGAGGCCTCTGAGGGCTTTCTGGGGGCGTCCCCTGGGGGCCTCTGACGGGCGTCTTCGGGGCCTACTGGTTGTCTCGGGAGTCTTCTTTGGGTTGTGGCTCCGAATTGCAGTTTGGGTTCTCCCTCTTGGGCTTATCCTGGGGGCCTCTGGGCAGCCTCTGGGGGATCCATTGGGGCGGTTTTGGGCGCTCTGAAGGCCGAAAAGGCAAGTACACCAACACATGACAGCAAGTTATTGGTTGTACTTGAGTTTGCCTTATTGGGCTGGCCCACAGGGCCGCCAAAATGGTCCAAGAGGTCACCAATTGAGCCACATGATGGTCCCTGGATATCTAAGGGCAGCCAGGAAGTGGCCACGCATTCACGCTGCCGAGGTTTCGGAAAAGTCACGTGGGGATCTCCAGGAGCGCGCGAGATTCCAAAGAACGAAGGGGCCTAAGAACACTCCACTCGGTGCCCACGGCACGCTGGCGTATGTGACCCTGATGTGCTTCCACGTTGTTGTGCCCGTCTGCCATCTCACGTGATCTTCGTTCATTGGTATCGCGGAATCTTGTTTGGTGACAAAACGATGAGTTGGTTAGACCATCCTCAAAGCGTGGAGATGTTGGAGGATATATGTCCTGACGTCGTCTATCAAAACTGAGAGTCTCGCTACAGACTGCCTCAAAACATTGAGATGAGATGTTCATGAAGTCCTGAGCTGTGTCGTTGCTTGCAAATGAGGCTTTCGCTGCAGACTTCCTACACACACATGGAGGCATTGACATATCAGCTGTCCGATGTCGTATAGGCTGCTTTTCAATATCGTCTCGGCATCTCCTCTGGAGGCCCAACGGCGGATCGAGCATTAAATGTGTGAACATCATTGCGCCTTTGATGTGTACCAGCTTCGCCCATGCACCGGAAGACCCCAACGCATTGAACAATTTGCGTTTCTCTTTAGACACCATCCAAGATTTTTCTATGGAGGGTGCACAGTGAAGAGTAGTATTTTGAGCCATATCAGATTCCATTCAATGTGTTGTTAATTGCGTTGTTGTTTTCCACAAGTGCCGTTCACGGAGGAAATGGATTTCTCTTCATACATCCACAGAGCATGGAATAGACCAACAATCTCAAATTTGTTTCAAACCATCTTGTGATGTTGGGTCATCGTTTTGAAGAGACGGTCCCCGCGCTCCTTTCCTCTCCTCCTCCTCCCCCTCCTCATCTCCGCCGCCCGCATGCGTCCCCCACACCCATGTCGGCACATCCCTCACACGTTTCGTGGCCCCATTGGGAGCTCCACCGAAGCCCCCAGTGGTACCGCTCACATGCGTCCCCCACATCCAATTTGGCGTTTTCACCCACCCAGTACAGCGCCTCGTGGCCCAACAGGGAGCCCCACCGAAGCCCCCAGTGGGACCGCCCACATGCGTCCCCCACACCCAACTTGGCATTGTCACCCACCCAGTACGTCGCTTCGTGGCCCCATAGGGAGCTCCACCGAAGCCCCCAGTGGGACCGCCCGCATGCGCCCCCCCCACACCCAGTTTGGCATTTCCACCCACCCAGTACACCGTTTCGTGGCCCCATAGGGAGCCCCACCGAAGCCCCCCAGTGGGACCGCCTGCATGGGTCTATCACGCCCAATTTGGCATTTTCACCCACCCAGTACAGCGCTTCGTGACCCCATTGGGAGCTACACCGAAGCACCCAGTGGTACCGCCCACACGCGTCCCCCATACCCGATTTGGCATTTTCACCCACCCAGTACAGCGGCTTCGTGGCCAAATAGGGAGCCCCACCGAAGCCCCCAGTGGGACCGCCCGCATGCGTCCCCCACACCCAACTTGGCATTGTCACCCACCCAGTACAGCGTTTCGTGGCCCCATAGGGGACCCCACCGAAGCCCCCAGTGGGACCGCCCGCATGCGTCCCCCACACCCGACTTGGCATTTTCACCTACCCAGTACAGCGATTCTTGGCCCCATGGAGAGCTCCACTGAAGCCCCCAGTGGGACCGCCCGCATGCGTCCATCATGCCCAATTTGGCATTTTCACCCACCCAGTACAGCGCTTCGTGGCCCCACAGGGAGCTCCACCGAAGCCCCCAGCGGTACCGCCCGCATGCGTCCCCCACATCCAATTTGGCATTTTCACCCACCCAGTACAGCGGCTCGTGGCCCAACAGGGAACCCCACCGAAGCCCCCAGTGGGACCGCCCGCATGCGTCCCCCACACCCAACTTGGCATTGTCACCCACCCAGTACGTCGCTCCGTGGCCCCATAGGGAGCCCCACCGAAGCCCCCAGTGGGACCGCCCGCACGCGTCCCCCACACCCGACTTGGCATTGTCACCCACCCAGTACAGCGCTCCGTGGCACCATAGGGAGCTCCACCGAAGTCCCCAATGGGACCGCCCGCATGCGCACCCCATGCCCAATTTGGCAGTTTCACCCGCCCAGTACAGCGCTTCGTGGCCCCATAGGGAGCTCCACCGAAGCCCCCAGTGGGACCGCCCGCATGCGTCCCCCACAGGGAGCTCCACCGAAGCCGCCAGTGGGACCGCCCGCATGCGTCCCCCACACCCAAATTGGCATTTTCACCGACCCAGTACAGCGCTTCGTGGCCCCATGGGGAGCCCCACCGAAGCCCCCAGTGGGGCCGCCCGCATGCGCCCCACACTCCCAATTTGGCATTTGCACATGCCCTTTACAACGCGTCGCGGCCCCATCGGGAGGTCCACCGAAGCCCCCTATGGGACTGCCCGCGTGCACCCACCCTTTCATATGGCTGGATCATTCGCCAGGATAATTTTATCAGTAAGGGCTTCGCCCCCATGCCGCGGGCCCCCTCTCTTAGAATGGGACTTGCAAGAGTTGTGTCTGGACGCTGACGTGGAGCAATGCCGGAACTTCACGTGAGGGCCAATATTTATTTATGAGAGTTAATGGTTTCGGGGACGCGAATCTAACGTAATTTACGATGGTTGATGGCTCTGGGGATGCGAATATTATAAATTACGGGGGGGGGTGGCCTCGGGGACGCACCGATTGCGTAATTTACGAGGGTTTATGACCTCGTGGGCGCACATACTGCACACGCTGCAAAGGTTTATGGCCTTGGGGACGCGAATATTGTGTAAGTTGCGAAGGGTTTGCGGCCTCTGGGACGCAAGTATGGTGTAGTTTTACAAAGGTTTATGGCCCCAGGGACGCGAATCTTGTGTAATGTTCAATGTTTTCTGGTTTCGGGGCGTCGGGGGCGCGAGCATTGTATAATTGACTAGGGTGTATGGTTTCGGGGACGCGAATATTGTGTAAGTTGCGAGGGAGTACGGCCTCGGGGACGTGAATCTTGTGTAATTTACGAGGGCTTATGGCCTCGGGGACGCGAACATGATTTCATTTACCAAGGGTATGGCCTCGGGGACGCGAATTTCATGCATGTTTTTCGTGTCCCACGCTCCCCCGAAAATTCAGGCAACGCGATTCGGGGGTGCTAACCAGGACACTTTTCGGCTCCCCCCCCCTCGCGCGTTCAGAAACAGTTAGCACTAAGGAAGCAGAACGCAGGACTGACAGTGGAAACTGGAAACTACCGCTGGCACGGGGAGCTGCAAGCCTAATCTTCGCAGTCTGATGGTCCCGCAAGGGGGCTGGCGGATTCAAGCATGCGGCCCTCGCTGCAGCCATCCCAAATAATCGGAGACGTTGATGAAAGACCAGTGCTTTTCTATTTGTGTTGAAGGGTGCCCTTGGATTGCCCGAAGATGGTCTAGGAAGCCGCTAAGACGATCCAAGATACTCGAATAAGCGCGTAGGTGGTGCTGCCTGCGGGGAACGGCCCTCGTGAGGGGTGCTGCGCATTGAGGCGGGATTGGTGCCTGCACGGTGCAGGGCCGCCACATACCCTTGAGCAGTGTTCCGACCCAGCCTTTGCCGTGCGGACTTTTCCACTAACATCTGTGAGTCCTCACAGCGGTCGCTTCCTGCTTTGCCGCCAGTCATGCGCACACTCGCACCCTGCCCGGCCCAGGTATCAAGAGGTGAACGAGGCTTACAAACAGCAGCAGGAAAAGGTCACCAAGTACAAGCAGCTGATGGCACAGGCAAGCCTCGGGTGTGGGCCACGAATCATAGTTGAATCACAGTTCGGGTTATGAGGAGGAAACGGTCGGATGCCCGATTCCTGAAGTAATTTGCTCAGTCGGGTCCAGGCACGACGGGTGTACCACACATTGTTTACGCAAATCCGGAAACCGCAAGTTTCACCGCAGTCGCAGGGGGGTGTTTGGGGAACGGTCTTGTTGCTCCTAGATTCTTGGCACTCCCACCCAGAACATCACCCCCCAAGCCTCTATGTGCAGCCTAATACCTCCAGGACGTACCCCCGAAACAGATTCACCCTGGCGAAGGACCCAACTATGTGCAGTTGTAATACGCCTTTGTGGTGGGAATTGCCTTCGGTTGAGCACCCTATGTGCACGAAGCGCGCGAAGGGTGAGCCGCAATGGGGCGGGGCCATGCGGGCGCTGCAGCTGGGGCCTTCGGTGGAGCGCCTTATGGAGCCACGAAGCGTGTGAGGTGTGCCAACGTGGAGGGGGGGCGGCATGCGAACCATGCCACTGGGGCCTTCGCTGGAGCTCCCTATGGGGCCGTGAAGCGTGTGAGGGGTATGCCAAAGTGGAGAGGGAGCGGCATGCGAACCATGCCATTGAGGCCTTCGGTGCTCCCTGTGGGGCCACGAAACGTGTAAGGGGTGTGCCAAAGTGAGAGAGCTTTGACGGGAGGAGGTAGGAGCGGGAGGAGGAGAGGAGAGGAGAGGAGAGGAGAGGAGGAGGATGAGGAGGAGGCGGAGGAGGAGGAGACCTCGTGATTGTTTCTCTTTGAGAGGAGGACCCAACACCACGAAAAAGAAGAAGCACCGTCCCCTTCATCCTGCTGCTGCTCCTCCTCCTTCTGTTGAATTGAAGAGGCCACCGGTATGCCTGGCGCTAATCGGGCCCTCGGCGCTGTCGCAACAATCACTCTGCAGTGAGGTGGGCGCAACGCAGTCCAACCATGGTCAAGGATGCCCCCAAGCTTGTCCGTCACGGTCTCAACGCAGCCTTCACATTGCCTAGCCTATTCCCATCCAGGGAGGAGGCGGAGGAGGATGATGAGGTGGTTGAGGAGAGCGTTGCGGAGGAGGATGAGGTGGATGATGACGACGGGGTTCACATTGTTGGTGATGGTGATGACGGTGGTGTGGGGGCGGGCGGCTGGCAGCCATGGAGGCGGACGGCCGGCAGCCGTGCGCTACAATTTTGTATGTGTTGTTCGCCGCGCCCGCGCCGAGCTTCTCCTTGCATTGACTCTACAGGCTTACGCCACATCCGCCGACCCCTTCTGTGAGTGTTGCGAGGCCAGGAGTTTCTGGCCAGCGGCGTCTTGTGTGAGGGTGCGGTGTCGCGCGCGGGTGGTGGCAGATACGTAGGGGGTCCAAATGTTTGCGTGATGCCGGTGGTCTGGGGCGTGTTTTGCGAGCGCTTTGCGTGCTGTGCACCCGGGTGCGGGGTGTCCTTCTGGGAGGTCGGCCTTTCGACCCGCAACCAAGTGGAGGAGCACTGGAAAACGAAAGGAGCAAGAGTAGTGTGTGGAAGCTGTGATCAGCGAAGCATCACAGCGAAAGATGTGGCAGATGAATCGAAACGGGTGAAGAGGCTGTTGACGTTCGCCGCGCGCACGAAACAGTTCGCGCGGCAGCAGCACATTAGCGCCGAGCAAGATAGTGAGCACGTCGCGAGGAAGAGTAAGGTTGTATGCGCGGAGTGCATTGTAGTTGGCGTGACGGCTCGCAATACGGAAGCGTCTGGGGGTCTTTGGGGGGCCTCCTGGGGGCCTCTTGTGGGCTCCTTGGGGCGTCTTGGCGGTTTCTTGAGGGCCGTTGGCGGCCTGTTGGGGCGCTCTTGGGGCCCCCTGGGGCTCGTGGGGGCGGAAAGGTAGATTTTTGAATTGTTGGTTGCCCTCTTGGGCCCCTCTTGGTGCCGTCTTGGAGCCTTCTTGGGCCGTTCTGGGGACCTCTTGGGCCGTCTTGGGGCCATATTGGACCGTCGCGGGGCCGTCTTGGGGGCCTCTTGGGCCGTCTTGGGGCGTTTTCGGGGCCTCTTGGGCCGTCTAGGAGCGTCGGAAAGCCCAGAAGGCGGATGTGTGAACATTGTACGTTTCACGACGGGAATACGCACATGTCTGCGTCCAGGGACCGTCTTGGGACGCATCTTGGGGGCCTCTCAGGGGCGTGTTGGGCCATCTGGAGGCCATTTCGGGTGTCTTCGATCGCTCTTGGACCGTGTGGGACCATGTTGAGCTCTCTTGGAAGCCACTTGGAGCGCTTTTGGGGCCGTCATCGGGGCTCTCTTGGGCCGTCTTCGGCGCCGCTTGAGCCGTCTTAGCGCCTTGTTGGGCTGTCTTGGGGCCCTCTTGGAGGCTTCTTGGGCCGTCTTGGGGCGGTCTTGGGGGCCTCTTGGGCCGTCTGGGAGCGTCGGAAAGCCCGAAAGGCGAATTTGTGAAAAACGCACGCTTTACGAAGGGAACGGGCTAATTTTTGCGTCTAGAGGCCCTCTTGGGACGCATCTTGGATGCCTCTTGGGGCCTCTTGGGGGCATCTTGGGCCGTCAGGAGGCCATCTTCGGTGTCTTTGATCGCTCTTGGGCTGTCTGGGACCATATTGAGCTCTCTTGGAGGCCACTTGGGGCGCTCCTGGAGCGCTCTTGGGGCCCTTTTCGGGGCCCTGTTGGGCCGTCTTGGACGCTTGTTGGGCCGTCTTGGGGCCCTCTTGGGCTATCTTGGGACCCTCTTGGAGGTTTCTTGGGCCGTCTTGGGGCGGTCTTCGGGGCCTCTTGGGCCGTCTTGGAGCGTCGGAAAGCCCAGAAAGCGAATTTGTGAAAATTATACGTTTTACAAAGGGAATGGGCCAATTTTTGCGTCTAGGGACCCTCTTGGGACGCATCTTGGAGGCCTCTTGGGGCCTCGTGGGGACCTCTTGGGCCGTCTTGGAGGCCTCTAGGCTCGTCTTGGGGCCATCTTGGGCGTGTGGGAGCGCTCGTTTGGCGTCTCGGGGCCCTCGTGGGCCGTCTTGGAGGCCTCTTGGAGCCTTCTGGGCCCGTCTTGATCCCCTTTTGGGCCCAAGAGAGCCCCGTGACGCGCTCGTGCTGGGCCCGGGGGGGGGGTCAAATCTCCGGTTTGGGGTCCCTGGGGGGGGATTATGGGGGGGGGGAACTATCTCACACGCCTAGAGACCCACAAGGGGTCGGCGGATTTCTTTCTCCGCCGATCCATGATCATCGTGGCCATGGCGATCATGGTGATAGTGATGATGGTGGTGGTGATGCTGATCATGCTGCTGGCGATGATGGTGGTGCTGATGGTGATGCTCATGGTGACGCGCATGGTGATGACACAGTCGATGGTGATGGTGATTGTGATGGTTGTGATGACAGTGACGAGGCCACTGACGAGGCTTATGATGATGATGAAGACGACCACGACGTCGATGGTGATGATGGTGGTGGTGATAGTGATGGTGATGTCGATAGTGGTGGTGATGCGGTTGCTCACGATGACGATGGTGATGATGATGTTGATGATGATGATGTTGGTGATGATGATGATGGTGATGCGGATGATGATGCTGCTGATGATGATGATGATGTTGACGATGCTGGTGATGTCGATGGTGATGATGCTGTACAAGCTCATGGTCATGATGAGAACGATGCTAACGATGAGGAGGGTGGTGGCGATGCTGAAGGTAATGCTGATGCTGTGGCTGCTGATGATGCAGATGCAGATGCTGATGCTGCTGATGCTTGCGACGACAATGATGGTGACGGTGATGCTGATGATGATGATGATGCTGATGATGATGATTATTATTATGATGATGGTGGTGATGGTGATGGTGATGATGATGGTGATGCTGAGGAATATGATGGCGACGCTCATGCTGATAACGATGCTCATGATGCTGATGATGATGATGAGCGAGCCCATGATCATGATGCCGATACTGATCATGATGAGGATGTCGGTGTCGATGATGTTGATGATAAGGCTGATGCGGATGCGGATGCGGATGCGGATGTTATTGCTGCTGCTGATGGTGATGCTGATGCTGATGCTGCTGATGCGTATGGCGGTGCTGATGCTGATGATGCTGCTGTTGCTGCTGACGATGATGATGACGATGCTAATGATGACGGCGATGGTGAACTGGTGATGCTGATGTTGATGATGCCGAAACTGATCATGGTGATATTGATACTGCCGATGATGATGATGATGATGATGATGATGATGATGATGATGCTGGTGGCGATGTTGATGATGATGATGATGCTGATGAGGACGATGTTGATGATGATGATGTGTCTGATGATGGCGACGACGTTTATGCTGCTGTCTCTGTTGATGGCGATGATGTTGCTTATGCTGCTGATGATGGTGGTGGTGATGATGATGACGAGGAGGAGGAGGATGAAGCTCATGCTGCTGCTGCTGCCGATGCTTGTTATGTTGGATGCTGCCGATGACGATGCCGATGTCGAGGATGATGATTGTGTTTGTACTGAAGATGGCGAGGAATATGATGGTTGTGACGATGATGAGGACGATGAGGAGGCGGACGCTGAGTCAGGAGGAGGAAGGGGAGGAGGAGGGGGAGGCGGCCTTTCAGGAGGAGGAGGAGGAATATCATGCTGATGACGTGGAGGAGGAAGAGGAGGCTGACGGGGCCGAGGCGGAGGAGGAGGAGCCTGAAGAGGAAGCCGAGGACGAGGAGGAGGAGGAGGCGGAGGATGAGGAGGCCGATGAGGCGGAGGCGGGGGCCGAGGCGGAGGAGTGAGAGGGAGGGAAGGGGGAGGAGGAGAAGGAGGAGGAGCAGGAGAAGGAGACCGAGGAAGTTGTCAAATTTGGATATGGAAGAGGAAGAAGTGGTGGAGGAAGACGACGTTGCCAGGAAATATGTGATGATGCTGCTGATTATGATAATGATGATGGTGATGATGCTGATGATGATGATGATGATGATGCTGATGCTGTTGATGATGATGATGATGCTGATGATGATGATGATTATGAGGAGGAGGAGGACGGGGAGGAGATGACGAAGAGGAGGGGGAGGACGAGGCCGCCAGGAAGGAGGAGGAGGAGGAAGAGGGATGAGTAGGAGGAGGAAGGGGGGCGCAGGAGGAGGAGGATGACGGAGGAGGAAGTAGGATGGTTGATGGCTGGAGGGCCCTCAGGCGAACGCCAGGATCGAGGAGTCGGACGAGAACGTACGTGAGCTGAAGGACGCGCTCAGCAAGTCGCAGGAGCCTACGGGGCTGCCGCGCCGCCGGGTTCGTCCTTTGCTGCGCGCCTGTGTTCGCCATGAGGCAAGCGGTTCCCGACTGAAACTGTTCTGAGGTGTTCGCCATCTTCTGGCTCCCAGGGCCCTCCCAGGGCCCCGGGATGGTCAACAACCTGCTCAGGATGAGAAGTTGGTCCTGGGAAGAGCTCCATCGGGTCCAGGACCCATTGCCCTCAGGACCCGCTTCTTGAATTTTGGTGGTTCATTTTTCCCAGGTTTTGCTGGGGGTAGGTGGGGTAGGGGCCGAAACCTTAGATAAAGAAGTTCGTGGATTCTTGCTGAGGCCCTAGGATACGGATACGGAGTAACGCAACGTACGTTTATTATCTATGATTCCCAAGAATGGTATGGATCCCCAAGGCGCCAAACCAACGAAACCAGTCAACGAAATTTACGATCGGATCGAATCGGAAGGTGTGTCGGGTCGGGCCGCATCGGCGCGAAACCATCATCGAATGGGGTCGGTTGAGCAAGGATGCGCAGCAACGCCATGCGAACACCGAGCTGCATCGGATCGTATCGAATCGAATCGGGCGAATCGGAGCCGATATCGATACGGATCGTTCGGATCGAAATAGACCCTGAACGAGTTGAAGGAGGTGCGGGCCAATCTGTGGCTCGACACCGCGCATCTGCGTGCGTATTTGTCCGCCCGCCGCGCGCTGTTTTTCATGTTCTTTGAAGAGCGGCGTGGTGCCAGTTCCGGGACGGTGCTGCTGGATGCAGCTCCGCTTCGGCCTCCCACTCCCGCCCATCCGCCTGCGCTTGGCTCCGCTTGATCCTGCCCATCCGCGCTTCCCGCGCGCCTCTCATCTTTAGGTCTCCGGGGCACGTCCCCGTCCCGTCGAGTCGTCATTCCCCTGCTCTTCAGGCGTTTCGCTTTCACGCAGGTTCTTGCACGCCCGCTTCCTTCCTCATCGCCAGCACGGCTGCATCACGTGTCTTCGAGCCTTTCTCTGGCCTTGTCGGTCGTGGACGGCGCTTCTCGCCCCACGCGTTGCTTGTTTTCGCCGCTCAGTGTCCCTACATCTCTTATGGAGCGCATGCGCGCTCTCTGGCATCCAGCGCTGTTCGCTAGCGTCCCTGCACGCCTGTCTCTCTCTCTCTCTCTCTATCTTTCTCTCCTCAGCCATATTCCATAAGTCCCTTCTTCCTCGGCCACATTCGCCCCCCTTGCCCTGACAGTGCCCTTTGGCTTTCCTTGTCCGTGCCATCCCTTTGTTGCGATACCTGATCCTGGTGGTCCTTCCCTCTCTCTCCTCCTCTCTCTCTGTCCTCTCATGGGCGCTCGACAAGGCTCAGAGGCTTACCATGGCATCGCAGATGGGCTCGATGCAGTCCAACTTCGTCCCGCCTACAGCCGACGAGGTATCTCAGAGAGGCTTGGCGGGCCACACCCCTCTGGCTTGTGCCCAGGCCGCTGTTTCTCCCGAAGTCACTTGGCAGAAATAGGGAGCAAGTCGGGGCGGGGGGGCCTTGATCACCCGTGCTGGCGCGAAGATAACCGCGCTTCTCGCGCCGCGGCCTGGGCTTTGTCTTCAGGGGTCGACGCGAGAGCGCAAAGGCGGTCGCCCGTTGGGCGGCACGCTCGCGAAAGTAGGGGATTTGGGGAGCTCGGGTCGTCGAAGGGGCAACGAGGTCAGGTCATCAGCTTGTGTTCACGTCCGATTCTTGAGACAGGAACCAATCGTTTGCTCCTGGGGGTGAGGGTGTCGTTTTCTCTTTCGCCCGGGGAGCATACAAAGGGAGCGCAGTTCTGCTTCGTCAATCATGGACCTTTCTGAGGTGATTGTGATCGAGCATCAATCTGCCATGGATGGACCGAGGCGCGGCAGGGGGAGGTGGCTTGTCTTTCAAGCCTGTGGGGGCGAGCCCAGGGGGCCCACGCAGCACACCTCATGAGCGCCAAGGGGTTCCGCCAGTCAGATCATGCGCCTCGGCCCCTCAGACTCCCAGAGTCCTCTGGCACGCAGCATCCTCATAGCCAGGGCCTCCACTGCCTGCTCAGGGCACGCTGGCGAATCCGAGCGGAGCTAGAGTGGCGGGAGGGTGGGAGGGGCAGGAGGCGAAGTGTGCCCGAGCATCTGGTCTCAAGCCCCATTTCTGCCGTGTCCCTGGCTATGCGCATGATGGCTTGATATTGCAGGTGATCAGACGCGAACGCAATAGCAAGAGAGAAGGATGAGGATGGAGAATATGATGTGTTGAGTGATGATTGTGATGATGCTGATCATTGTGATGCTGCTGAAGCTGTGGAGGATGAGGGTACGGCGTATGAGGATGTGCCCTAGGATGTGTGTGTGTGTGTGCTGATGGCGGCGACGACGACGCCACCGCCGACGATGATGATGATGATGATGGTGGTGCTGATGACGATGAAGATGACGGTGGTGGTGATGATGATGGTGGTGATGGTCCTGCTGATGCTGATAATGCTTATGATGGTTGTGGTGGTGGTGGTTGTGACGCTGATGGTGATGTTGATGGTGGTGGTGATTATTTTGAAATGTATGATATACACGATGACGGTGAAGATGGCGATGAGCAAGGTGACTAGTTGATGATGTTGATGAAGTTTGATGATATTGATGTTGATACCGAAGGTGAGTATGATGTTGGCGCTCATGCTGATGATGGCGATAATGATGATATCGGGTGATGGTGATGCTGATGGAATGTTGCGCTGATGTTGCTGCATATGATGATGTTGCTGCTGATAGTGGTTGTGTTGATTATGCTACTGGGAATGTTGCTGGTGCTGATGATGTTATTGATGAAGATGGTGATGATGCGGACCTTGCCAAATACTAGCATTCACAATGTCAAGTATAACTAGAAAGTGCGCCAGTGGATCTCCCTGAATACACTAAAAGGGGGGGGGGGGGGGCAGAACCCCCCCCCCTCCCCCCCCATCCCTTGAAAGGGGGGGGGGTTCTGGACCCCCCCCCCCTCCCCCCCTTTGGCGCTGGAAAGGGGGGGGGGGGTCGGACCCCCCCCCTTTGCGCCGGATAAGGAGCCGGAGAGGGGGGGCCTTTCTCGCTTCTCCTTTCTGCGCCAGAGAAAGTGTGTAGGGAGTACGGAGTTGGGAATAGGGACTGGTGAAAAGTGAGTAGTGAGTTAGTGCGTGGTGAGTAGTGAGTGAGTAGTGGATAGTGCGTGGCGAGTAGGGAGTAGGGAGTAGGGAGTGGGGAGTAGTGAGTAGTGAATAGTGAGTAGTGAGTATTGATAAGTGAGTAGTGGGTGACGAGTAGTGAGTAGTGAGTAGTGAGTAGCGAGTAGTGAGTAGTGAGTACTGAATAGGGAATAGGGAGTAATGGGTAGTGGGTAGTGAGTAGTGGGTGGCGAGTAGTGATTCGTGAGTAGTGCGTAAAGAGTAGTCAGTAGTGCGTAGTGAGTAGTGAGTCGTGAGTAGTGAATAGTGCGTAGTGAGTAGTGAGTAGTGAGTAGTGAGTAGCGAGTAGTGAGTAGTGAGTAGTGAGTAGTGAGTACTGAGAAGTACGTAGTGCGTAGTGATTAGTGAGTAGTGATGAGTAAGAAGTAGTGGGTAGTGGCAGTGGGTAGTGTGTGGTGAGTAGCGAGTAGGGAATAGCGAGTAGTGAGTAGCGAGGAGCGAGTAGGGCGTAATGAGTAGTGAGTAGTGAGTAGAGAGTAGTCAGTAGTGAGTATTGGGTAGTGATTCGTGAGTAACGACTAGGGAGTAGCGAGTAGTGAGTAGTGAGTAGGGAGTAGGGAGTAGTGAGCAGTGAGTAGTAAGAAGTGCGTAGCGAATAGTGGGTGGTGAGTAGCGATTAGTGAGTAGTGAGTAGTGGGTAGTGAGTAGTGACTATTGACCTGTGGCTAGTGACTAGAGACTGTGTAGAGATTAGTGAGTAGGGAGTAGTGAGTAGTGAGTAGCGGGGAGTGAGGAGTGAGTAGTGAGTAGCGAGTATGGGAGTAGTGAGTACTGAGTACTGTGTAGTCAGTATTGTCTAGGGAGTAGGGATTAGCGAGTAGCGAGTAGTGGGTCGTGAGTAGTGATTTGTGGGCAATGAGTAGTGAGTAGTGAGTAGTGGATAGTGGGTAGTGGGTAATAAGTAGTGATTAGTGAGTAGGGAGTAGTGAGTAGTGCTTAGTGGGTAGTGAGTATTGAGTTGTGGGTAGTGAGGAGTGAGTAGTGAGTAGGGAGTAGGGAGGAGGGAGTGGTGAGTAGGGAGTAGTGAGTAGCGAGTAGTGGATGGTGGGTAGTGGGTAGTGGATAGTGAGTAGTGAGTCGCAAGTAGTGAGTAGGGGGTACTGAGAAATGAGTAGAGAATAGCGAGTAGTCAGTAATGGGTAGTGAGTAATGAACAGTACGTACTCTTTGGGGCTGGGGTTACTGGTTGGGGTTAGGGTTCGGGGTTTGGGTTAGGGCGAGGACCAGGGATAGGAGTGGCGGGGGTAGGGTTCCGCAGTCAGGGGGCGGCGTAGCGAAAGGGGGGAGGGGGGGGGGGGGCTTGCGGCCAAAGGGGGGGGCGGGGGGGGGGGGGGTCGGACCCCCCCCTTTGAAAGGGGGGAAGGGGGGGGGTTCCCGACGACGGACCAGGAAATGGGGGGGGGTCCCCGACGACGGATCGGGGAAGGGGGGGAGGGGGGGGGGTCCCCGACGACGGATCGAGGAAGGGGGGGGTCCCACCGCAGGCGCCGACAATCATGAATCGATGAATTGGGTTGGGTGGATTGGATTGGATGGGATAAGAGGATGGGTTTGATAAGATAATATGGTTGGATTGGAATAAATGAATTGGATAAGATGGATTGGATTGGCCCGCCGCAGTCGCAGAAACAAATGAATTGATGGATTGGGTTGGGTGGATTGGATTGGGCGGGATAAGATAAGATGGGACAGTTTGGGTTGGATCTGATAGTATGGATTGGATTGGACAGGGTGGATTTGAGAAAATACGCTGGATTGGATAAGAAAGCCCGCCGCAGGCGCCGACAAAAATGAGTTGATGGATTGGGTTGGGTGGGTTGGATTGGATGGGATAAGATGGATTGGATATGATAAGATGGGTTGGATTGGAAGAAGTGGATTGGATGATATAAGATGGATTGGACTGGCCCGCCGCAGGCGCAGACACAAATTAATTGATGGATTAGGTTCGGTGGGATAATATATGATGGGACCATATGGTTTGGATAAAATAAGATGGATTGAGTGGACAAGATCGGTTGGATACTATAGGCTGGATTGGATAGGAAAGCCCGCCGCAGGCGCCGAACAAAAATGAATTATGAAATTAACGACATGCGTTAGCGCTGGGACACCCGGGACACCCGGGACGCCGCCCGGCCCAACTGGGACACCTCCCGGCCACCGGCGGACGGGAAACGGATTTTCGCTCCTTCTGACATCCGGGACACTTGGGACACCGCCCAGCCAAATTGGGACACTTCCCAGCCACCGGCGGACTGGAACGGACTTTCGCTCGTATTTCGGCCTAGCTACAAGAGGATCACGCGCAGCTTCGCTTCGCCCGCACGCACGACACGAACACGAAAGCGAAACCGATTTCCTGGTGGGGGGTCTCCGTATCACTGCGAACTCACCCCCCAGGCTCCGATAATATTCGTACGAAGGATAAACAGACGAGTAGGAACACTCATACGGATAGCATTGATAATACTACTGGCACTCATAATATAATGATGATGGTGACGATGCTGATGTTGCTGATGTAGCTGATGCTGCTGCTGATGATGATGATGATGATGATGATGATGATGCGGATGCTGATGATGATTGTGGTGGTGATGATGATGCCGCTGCTGATGATGTTGATGATGCTCCTACTGCTGAAGATGCTGACGTTGTTGCTTCTGATGTTAATGTCGATGCTGATGCTGCTGTCGCTGATGTTATCGGTGATGTTGAGGATGCTGATGATGACGATGCCGACGACGACGATGATGACATGCTGCCGATTATGACTATGATGCTTATGCTGCTGACGATGATTGGGGTGATGACGATTGCGCTGATGTTGATTGTGACGATGACGATTGCGATGATGATGATGATGATGATGATGATGATGATGATGATGATGATGATGATGATGATGATGATTTTCATGCTGATGGCGATGATGATGTTGAAGACGATACTGATGATGCTGAGGATGATATTGTTGATGATAAGTTGTGGTGGCGATGGTGATGATATCATTGTTGTTGTTGATGACGATGATGCTGGTGTTGTCGATGCAATGCTGATGTTGATGCTGATGGTAATGGCAATGGTAATGATGATGCTGGTGATGATGATGATGAGGATGCGGGTGATGATTGTATTGATGATGGTGAGGAGTGTGAGGAGTCGGATGATGGTCATCACCATTATCATCATGATGAGGTTGTTGC